TACCCTATCGACCAACAGAATTTTAGCAGAAGTCCTCTACACTGTAGTACTACAATAACTATAAATAAATGCAAAGTTGGCATATTTACATTTTTGTCGAACCTCTGAGTCATGTCGTAATCAAAATGATTGCTAACTTTTTTTATTAGCAAAGATTTTGTTAATTACAGAAAAGTTTTCAAATCTTGTCAAGATCTTGATCCAGATTTTTGCAGGCAAATTCCTCCAAAGAAACTCTACGAGATCTTGATGAAGAATTGTTGAACATTCTTTGAGATCAAGAAACTTGACAGACCTTGTGCAGATATAAACTTTCTGCAGGACATGGGTTAGTTAAAGTGATATGAGCAGCTGTGATTCTGGCAGGAGATAATTCAATGTAGAGTTTATAACATTCCGCTAGCTATCTCTCGATTAGCTGACAAAGATACGGAGGCAGAGCTCGGTCGACGGCTATAAAAGGTGTGCCAATGAGATGAATAATTTTATTCGGTAGAAAATGCTTAAATATGTTTAAAACAGGCTTGTCTCGAAAGTGCTCTGGCATAGATTAGAAGAAGTTGAAAAAGTGAAGGCTGAAATTTTAATTATTTGTTCAAAACTTCCCTGAAAATACCAATTATAATTATCGGTTTCAGTCGCTCATCGGTTAACCGTAACCGGTGCATCCCTAGTCTAGTGTCGAAAATTGAAAAAACAGCAAGTTTCTATCTTAAACTTACTCCTGTCAAAAGTTATTCAAAAACCGTCTTACAGTAGCCGCACTATATTTTGAAACGGATAGTAGTGTATCAGTGTCTTTATTGATTTGTTAAAAATAAACATATGAAAAAGAAAAGAAACAAGCGTTTATTTATTAATTTTTTGTACATCTTTTTGGTCTACTATTTGCTTCTTCCATATGTTTACATGAATAAACAGCAATCGTTTTTTCTTTTTCTCTTTCGGGTTGTACAATAATTAAACCTTCGTTACTAATAATAATATTACATAGTGCACAAGCAACGATAGCTTGTCCAACGCCTTTCTTCTTACCACGACTATCTGTATCGCAATCAATCCAGTAGAGAGAATCTTCAGCTGTACCATAACGACAATCTTTGTTACCAGCATCACAACATTCTTTACTGTCAGGTTTAACTCTTTTAGCAAAACATGAATTTGTACCAAATATACCTGAACATTTATCACGATCATAAATGGCAGCATAGACAGCACGACACGACTGATTAATAACACAAACACTTTTAACAATGTGTGTGCCAACGCACAATAAGAGCAGGAGGATGAACAATTCTAAACAGTAAAGAGAAAAAAGGAAAACAGTTAAAGGTTAGTTAGCAGAAACAGTCATGCATGCGTGTGTACGTTCGAGTTTTTTATTCATCAGTTCCGGTCATGAATATAGGAATCATGCGTATATTATTTTTTAAAGATTTACACGTAGACAAGAAAGCTTTTTTTAGCTCACACTCGCTAAAACGCGGTTTTTTCAACGCGTTTACTGCGCGGTTTGTGTCACGTTCCGTGGACAAGCCGTGCAGCTTTACAAAGGCGTCTAAACGCCTCGTTTTCATACTTGAGATAGAAGATGACGCGTTTGAAATGGTATCAGTAATTACTCGACGCGTTTCGTCTTTAATGTGTTT